CCTGACGCCTTGGAGATGACGAAGAGGATGGAATAAAACCCCCGACCTCTCTGGTCCGCTGGCACTGGTTCTATGGCCTGTATGTTTAGTAGATGTTGAACAGCTTTGTTCAGTAGTCTTTCCTTTGTTCGATTCCATGGGTAGGGGCAGGAGAGAAATCGATTTGGAGGGTTGGAGATGAACTCCAGGGACAGACCATGACATATGGTGTTTAGTACCCATGTGTCTGTGGTGATGGCCTCCCATTGGTGGGCAAAGAGAGAGAGTCTGCCCCCTATGGGAGGGACCGCTGGGGGTTCACCTGGAGTGGTGGAACAGTCGGCCGTTCCCACAAAAGGGTCGCTTGCCCTGAGATTGCTGTCTAGGTCTGGCTGCCTGCCTGTCAGGCTGCCTATCCTGTCTGTCCTGCCTGGCCGGGAAGGGATGGATGGGTTGAGTGTAGTTGTACCTAGCCCCTGCACGAAAGGACTGTCTTCGTGGATAAGAATTGGACTGTTTGTCTGATCTCTTAAGGAGAGGATTAAGGACCTTGCGTTTGTCCTTATTCTTGGTGAGATAAGGATTCAACGCATCCCTAAACAGCTTGCCTCCCTGATAAGGTGCCGCTGATAGATGCCATTTAGACTTGGCGTTGGCTTGCCAGTGCTTCAACCAAAGCATATGGTGAGCAGTGATGCTGGAAGCCATAGACCTGGAGGAAAATCTGGCAACCTGGAGAGTGGCATCTGATGCATACTTGGTGGCCGCCACCATCTTGCTAAGGTCTTGGTGGGTGCGGATATCCTCTGCTGGGATACGGGCCTGGAGCTGCTTTAGCCAGCGGAGGGCCGATCTGTTGAAGAAAGATGTGGAGGTGGCCGCTCTAATAGCCCATGCAGCCGCTTGATGCGTCCTGCGGTAGGCGAGTTCGCACTTATGGTCCTCAGCTTTGAGAGTCTCAGAGGCGTCGCCTGGAATGACAGAGAGTAATACTAGGTGCCCTAAGGGCTCATCCACTGTGGGCACCTCCAGGGCCTCCTCCAAATCCTTAGCCACATTGTAAAGCTTTTTGTCAGTATTACCTGGGAGGGGAAGGGAGGCCAGCGATGTCCACTGCTTTCGGATCGTGTTCAGAAACATGGGAGGGCAAGGAATGTGGTGTTGAGCTGCCACCGGTTCGGTGAAGTTTGGGTCCACCTCCAATTTAGGGGGAACTGTGGTTGCTGCTGAGGAAGGATTGGGCCCGAGATGGGCTGTGGATGTGACCTTGCGGAGCAAGGGAACAAAGAAGGAAGGGTTGAAGAGGCCGCTAAAGGAAGGAGCTTACTCTTGCCAGTAACCTCCTGACTAGAGGATTTAGGGTGCATAGGAGCCATTGAATACGGCAAAGCGTCCTTTGCAGAAGGCATAGAATCCTCCATTCTCTGATAACACAGGAGTACAATGGGGAACTCCTGGTATCCAGAGAATAGTATACACTGGATAAGAACAGGTGCACTATAGGGGATACCTGGAATCCAGATAAGCTGCTGCATGGATAAGAACAGATGCACGACAGGGGACGCCTGGAATCCAGCTATAGCTGTTGTGCGGATAAGGACAGATGCACTACAGGGGTGCCTGGAATCTGGATAGAGCTGTTGTGGATAAGAACAGGTGCACTATAGGGGATGCCTGGAATCCAGATACAGCTGTTGGCAATTTAGTAGGCCCATTATCACGCTGGGTTAGGCCAGAGCGGAGGTGAGGCCGAGAGACACCAAACCAGAAAGGGACCAAGGGTAGAAGTGTGTACACTGAGAGTAATTTGAATTGCCTGATATGGCTTAAAGTGTGGCCTAAGAGGGCTTGGAAGTTTTGTTGCCCTTTGAGAGAACAGGCCTCAAGCCTGTCTGACTTCCAAAATGGTGGCTGCCCTCAAATGGCGGCCTTTCTGGTGGCGATGAGGCCTGGATTCGCTCTCCATGGGTATTCTGCTTTAGTTGACCCTCAATGAAGCCCCTTGTCTGATGACAAGGAAGAATGTTCCGAAAAGAGGAGGAAGGAGCTCCTTCCTCCAGTATTCCCATGAGGACCACACGGCCCAAAATGGTGGCTGCATGAAGGGAAGACGTCTAGGTCTGTCGCAGTCCAAGAGGCTTTGGGGAACGCTGGCGCGCTCCTTGCCAAGGAGGAAGGCCGTGCCAGAGGCTTTGTTAAGGAAACGGTGCTTTCTGCATCTCCGATCGGCCTCCTAACCGCTGATCAGTGACCGCATGAGGAAAAGGCGTCTAGGCCTGCTGCGGTCTGAGAGGCTCGAGGGGACGCTGGCGCCAAAGAGCATTCCTTTGCCAAACAGGAAGGTCCGCGCCAGAAGGCTTTGAAAGGAAAACGGCGCTTTCCACCCCTCCAATCAACCGCCTAACAGCTGATCGGCGCTGGCCCCCTTTGGCGCGCACGCGCCTTTGGCCGTGAGAAGGAAGCTATCAAGTCTCTGAGGCTAGTGGGGAAAAATGTGACGGTCAGCTTAAATGATCACCGGAGCTGCGGCTGCAGCTCCAAGGAAGCAGAATCGTGGGATTCCCGAGAGGGATCCTGGCCCATCACAACAGCCTCCTCTGCCGACTCTTGTCTTCAGCTGCTGGAGCTGCAGCCGCAACCTCCGGTAAGAATGAGGCCGATCTGATATCAGCCGGGGACTAACAGCCGTTAGTCCACGGGATGGATCAAGCGAGTTAGAAGCTTTGAAGGAAATCAATTAGCTGGGGTGGGGAGGAGGGGGAAGGTAAGGAAGGAGCCCAATTCCAATCTTTATCTCCCTCAAACCAGGAATTGGAAATTAATACTAATAGGGATAGCCAAATTCCGTGCTGAATACAGCACTGCTCAAGCTAACTTGGAAATGGAAAATCCACCAATAGAGACTGTACCTGCCTAAGAGCCAAAGTTGTACATCTGTCCTGGGCGAGATCAGTCAAGACTGGGATCTCTATGGTCCAGGACGGGCGTGGCAATTTTGGCTGACTGATCTGATTGGGCAGGAATACAGTCTAAACCCATTGGTGGATTATCCATCTCCAGTGCTGGAGAACTACAATATTTCACAAGGCACTCAACTTCTCCTTTGTGGCTACAGTCTTGAGCACTAAATACCTATTTACTCTTAGTATGTACTGGATGAGAAAAACTGCTAATTAGAATCTTCAGCTAAGCAGAAAATCAGTAGAAAGCATTAGCATACACAGAAAAAGTCACCATTGATAGATATTGCTCTTTATCTTCTACAAATGCAGTTTCACACAGGTTAAAATTTCCACTCACTTGTACAGAACAATAATTTCTAACAAACAGATGTTGCCTCATTAATTGCAACCAAATTAAGCATAACATCAAAATACAACCCTTTGCCCAGAAAGCTGGTTAGGGAATCTCTTCTGTTAACAGCAACTGCCTCAACACACTTGTACCAGAAATTCAATTAACAATAAGGAATCATTCCAGAATCTGGTTATATAGTTATGAGTTACACTAGCATTGATTTCAAGTGAGAAGAAATGAAGTGGCATCTCCTCAGGGCTTATTATACACAGAAAGGCAATACCTTAGACAGCAGACACATCTACAACTCTGGTCTGCATTTCAATGATTTAGGGAGGAAGTTCATTCCTCCTGCCAATCAGGTTGTTAAGCTGTGGTAGGAGAATAAAATATGTGAAATTAAAAGGCAATGAGAGTTTTAAAATGAATTCAAATTCAATTCTGAAGGACGTAGTGAGGAAGGGCAAGTATGCTCTGTGATGTACCTCTGGGAGATCTGGAAGATCTGCAATAGCAGGTAGGGGGGGACATTTAAGGCACAATCCTATCTGCTATAATCTATTCGTATATCAGGTGTTTTGGATACAAATATATAGATATACAGAAAATAGCAGAGAGAGAAAGGGAGAGAGATAGAGATAGAAGAGAAATTTCCTCATCGAATAGAGTAGCCTCACAGCCAAAATACTCAAGGCCAAAGGCTAAAGTTTTTGCAATGGGATAAAAACAATCTTAAAAACAGCTCCTGAAATTTCATTTAATGCTAATTTTTTTCACCTGATATAATGGAACTCAATTTGTTACCTTACACACATTTCAAAACAACAAGTTGTGTTGAATAATCTCCCAAATGACTGTGTAGCAACTTCATCTTGCTAATCTGAATCTATATATGACTGATACTAAACTATGCTTTTTGGGTTGTCAGATTAATTAATTCACTTTCAAAAAGTAATGTATCATCAGGTAAGAGAAAATTAAAAACTCCCTTTATGGCTGTCACTCCATCAAAAATCTAGTCTTCTATGAAAATTTAAGTTTCTGTGAAATAAAATATGGAACAGGCGTAAGATTTTGAAAATCATCATTATTTTGGCTCCAGTAAAATAAATAGTAAACAAATGTTACTGGATTGTTCTGTACCTATAAAATTCAGTTCTGCATCCACAAATCCACCCATGATAATACTGACAAATTGCCATCTATGATATCTTTCCCCCTATTTTTGGCTTCTGAAGCTTTGACGGATCTGGTTGAAGAGATGGTTATATTATGTGCAGATGTCACATTGTGAGACCTAGCTACCATGACTGAATCTGACAAACTGCCTATCAAATGGAATAGACTGCAATTCCCCAATACCTTCTGACACCCAGCCAGTTAAAACCAAAAGCTGAGATAAGAATTCAGATATGGAGCTAGGATTGTTTCCAGAAAAGGCTTTTAGTGGTCCTCTGTAGGATAATGCACATTCCATTGTCTGAATATGTGTACCAAGCCTGTAGCTATGACCCAGTCTTGACAGTTTTCCTTGTCTATTGTTCAGAAGTGTGCTGCCTCTGAACAGCAAGGCTTTCTGTTTGATTTTCTTAGATCTCAATAACATATACTAGACATCACAAAATCGTTCTATTATGCTCTAAAGCAGCATTAACACTCCATATTTTAATATTTCCTGCAAGACACAAGACAGAATTGTAATGATTTCCTTCAGAGGCTCTCACCTGCCAAAGCAGGAATGGTGACCTTATTCCATTCCCATGGCTGGTCATACTCATCTGCGGGCCTATCATCATCCTGTGGCAACTTGCTCTCTCTCAGGCGTTGACTCACAGCACTTTCTGAATCAGATTCCACGCCATTGCCTTCAGGTTCGTAAGGTGTGTCATATAGCTGGATGTCTTTTTGCTGGGGCTTCACACTGTCTTGTCTCTGTAACTCTGTCAGAATGGGAAAATAATTGGATTAATTTTTCTGCTACCATCAGCAGGCAAGGAAAAAAAGTTCATGTAGTGTAATTTAATATGAACAATAAATTAACAGCAACAAGAACGGTGTGGATATGTAAGCTGCCAAAGGTTTCCAAGTTTAGCTTCTCTCAAACTGAACAAAAGAAGAAACATAGCAAAGTCTCTGATAACAGTTTACCAAATGGCAATATATAATTTACCAAAATGTCAGGAAAGTTAAGAATCACAGGAAAGAGGTTCCTATAATTTCAGCAAGATTGTAGAGCAGAAAGGACAAGCAAAGGGCTTATATGTGACTCAAGAGAATTCTTTATGCTCAATTCTTTCTTGAACCCACCAGAATGGCTGGGCTGACATTTTTGCCCTTTTTTCGCTTTCTCACTCACTCTCATTCTCTCTCTGTCTCTCCTATAAGTTTCTTAAGTCTTTCAGAGGTTTAAGCTATACATTTCATCCCTTAAAACTGCTGAAATGGCCAAAAAGAATCTTGGTTTCTTATGCACATTCAGTTTGAGGCAGCCTCAGAGCTGGTGAAGTTGCACATTCCTGTCTTAACACATGCTCCTCCAATCTGGTAGCATCTGGATGGGATGACAAACAATGCTAAAATTTCCCACTAACACAGTGTTTCTCAACCTTGACAATTTTAAGGCATGTGGAATTCTGGGAGTTGAAGTCCACATGCCTTAAAATTATCAAGGTTGAGAAACACTGCATATCTGGAGCTTGTGAGAGGAAGGCTGCTTCAAAAAAAGCTCACGTAATTTGCCACCCAACAAATCTAATATAGGTCATGAAACTTGCTAGTTGTCATAATGCCATAGTTTAAGAAAAACAGAAGAACAATGGCAAGATGCTGTATCTGCATAGAGCAGGTCTAAATACACAGATATCAAAGCACCTTTAAGTTGTTTTGAATTTTAATTGTATTCAATAGCTGTAAAGGGTTTCTCTGAAAGTGGTATCAAAAGACACCTTCCTCTTTATAAGCTATGCTCCAAGCACTATGTTAACATGATGGTCTTTGACAGCTTTGCCTGGTATAGAATATCTAAGCAGAACTGGGGCACTTTTTATCATGAAATTTATCATGCAGTTGCTACTGTTGCTCTAAGCTTAAAATGCCTCTTGCTATGATTAAGAAATTACAACGTGTGGTAATTCAACTTACTAGAGACCCTAACTTTCCAGATTATAACACCATGAGAAATGTTCCTAGGGAACAGGGTGGCTAGAGCAAATCAAATGAATATTGTGAACAAAAGGGCTCCATAGAAGCTACTCCAAATTCTCTTTGAAGATTATATCACAAGGCTTGGCATTTGTGATTATTAATATTATCTTTCAATCTCTTAATTCCAATGAAAAAAGTCTGTAAAATCATACATATTAAAGCAAGCTGAGTTTGGCAATTATAAATGGATTCTACCTCTAAATATTAAATAAAAAAGTAAATTGCTGGTGAAGGTAATTAAACTGGGATGTCCAGATCAGCACCTTCTTGCATGATGATTACCATCCTATATTTACTTATCTACTAAACCTTGGCCCCATAGATATGATGTGACTGATACTATACATTTCCATTTTGCCTTTTCCTCCAGAAGATCACAGCATCATTCTTAGGTATATCTTATTTTATCTTAGCATTGTTATGAGGGAGTTACATCAGCAATAAGCAGCATGTCCAAGGATATCAGGAGAATTTCACTGGTAAAAGTTAAATATTCTGGAAATAGATCTTGCAAATTCTTGAAGAAGTGTTATTTACAGGTGTGTCCTTATCCAGTTTTTCTACTGAATGAGTCACTGATGGTAATAACTAACAGCATCCTCTCTTTCCCTTTCCGGAAACTTTTGAGTCGTGCTATTCAAATACCTAGAAACTTTATACTGGAGTATACCTAATGAGTACTAAAATACACCATCTGGGGCTGCTAAAAAAGAATGGCAGGAAACTTCCCCTGGCACAAACTGTGGTGTCAGATAAGTATCTTGGTAGACAGACCATCTGGTCTCTACCTACCCCTGGATTAAAGTGCATAGTGTTTGGTGGTGTCCCTGTCCCTGAAGTGAGGTTGATAGCCACCCATGAGGAAAGATTACTCACAATTGTGGTATTCCAAGTATGGATATTCCTGCCCCCACTCCCCCAGCAAAACATATCTTTGCAGTCAATTGCTTTAGCTTAGAAAAGGAATCCCAATACTGTTGAGATATTTTGAAATTATGCATGGTATGGAAAATATGGACATGGAGATACTCTAACTTGGCAAAGAATTTAAGAGTGGCAAATTCAGGATTGAAAAAAGAAAGTCTTTCTTCAAAGGATCAAGTTGAGCTTCAAAATTCTATATTATGCGCCAATGCCAATTTAGACTGTTTTCAATGGGGAAAAAAAAACCACGGTTGCAGGAAATAAAGCTAGTAACAGATTAAATCTCCTTTAGAATCAGATTGCCTCTCAATAACATCTGGATGAAATGTGAACTCTAATATACATCTATCTGGTTTACAAGGGTATATGACCAGCCACTATGGGAACACAGAAAGCATAGACAAAAATGTGGTCATCTTTTGTTTAGTCAGTGGGAGACTTTTTTTTTTTTTGTTCTTCTCATGTTCTTAACATAAAAGAGTCCCAGAACAGCAGGACAATATGTGTGTGTTTCTATCATCATATTGTATTTCTGGGTATATACTGCTTCCTTTCTCAACTTGGATGAGAGCACTGCAGATAGAAGGAAGGTTCATGAGAGAATTGGCTAAATTCTACTCCAAATATGTATTTGCTTCCTGATAGTTCAAACAACTAATCAGTGGAATGACTTGCTTCCAGAAGTTGTTTGTGTTCCAGAACTGGAGGCTTTTAAGAAGAGATTGAACAACAATTTGTCTGAAATTTTATAGGGTTTTCTGCTTGAGCAGGGGTTAGATTAGAAGATCTCCAAGGTCCACTTCTGTTATTCTGTATCTATTTCTCCAGTGGTAGCAAATGATTGCCATTAAGAACTATATAACTGACACAAACCTTATTGTCGGACAATGATTCTAGGCTATATGACACACTGCAGAGTTTAGTGTAGCATTTCTGCAATTTGGACGGATGTTTAACAGGATGGCCTAGATTAGAAACTAGCAGACAATCAATTTTAGGCCTTCTTTCAGCATGAAAGCTGGGCTAGATGACTGCCTCTCAGTCCAAACCACCTCAAAGTGTTATTTTTGTGGAAAATAGGACACAGGAGTACTAGAGATTTTTGCTGCCTTGAGTTATTTATAAAAAAGGGGCAGGATAAAAATATAATAGCAATACTACAGTATGTAATATAATAATTATATGCTACATAAATCCTGCTCATGGATAATGACTGCTATTTAATAACCATTCTACCCCCTCTTTGATGCATAGCTCTAAAGAACTGGCTATTAAAGAATCTGTATCTTCTAGGATGGGATTTAAAACAAGTCTGATTCAATCTTGAGCAGGACTCCAAAATGCATTGACCTCAATAGAACATTGTTAAGAAATGCATCTACATATTTTGCCCAGAGATTAGCAATAATATTGGTACCTGTTCTCTTATTATGACTGTTACTTTGTTTATTTTTAGAAATTGTTAAGTTTTTCTTTAACTTGTTTTGTCAGTAGTGATAATATGCTGAAAATGAAGCTTCTGGCTCTTCACCTAAGCCTTTGGCAAAGAAGACTGAAAATCCTCACTTCATGACACTTGCCATCTTTATTTTTATTTTTTTTAGGTTTTATTGGTTTTATTATAATTTCTTTGATTGTTGTGAGCTACCTAGAATTGTTGAGAATCAGGCAGCAAACAAGTTAAATAAACGATTATGATTATTATTTGCAATGTTGAATTTCTGAATAGGCAGACCATGTAATAATTTTAGCTAAAGCATCACTGCTCGCAATTTATGTTTATTTAATAGATTTAAATAATCTATTCAAAGCTATTTTAATTTTGCTGCTCACCACATAAATGATTCTGAATGGCTAACAATTAAAAACAGAATCTGACAGCTTTCAATGGCTTAATACAGCAACTATATGAACATATATTTATGTACAGCCTAAACATTCGTAAAGCAAATAAAAACTACCCCAAACCAAACAATAAAACCAAACCTCAACACTACAACTCATTATTATATATGTGTGAGTATATGAGTCTAAAACAGTATAAAACATTTTTATTGAAAAAAACTTTTGTACAGGAAGATATGATTTATTATGAATTATTTTACTGGTACAATTTTAAAAGTGGAGGCCAGATGTGATATTTAATTAAAGATGTGATATTTAATTAAAGGATTCCTCAAATTCTTTGCTACCATATTAATTTTTAAAGCAATTTCTTCACATCTTGAAATACCACTGGCCAAAAGAACAAGGAACAGATAGTCCTTGACTAAAAACCATAAATGAGCCCAGAATTATGTTGTAACTTGTGCCAGATGTTAAGCAGGCCACCATGTGACCATGTCTGATTTTATGTTTTTTTTTCCTACAGTGGTCATTATGCAAACATTGCAGTCCTTAAGCAAATGCATTGTCTGCAATTGGCAATTTTTGTTGGAAATGGAAAGTAAATACCAGTTCTGGCAAAAAACAAACAAACACAAACGTAGTCAAGCATGGTCATGTGACACTGCGAAAAGGCTGTAAATGCAGGCTAGTTATCAAGTGCCCAAAATGTGATCACATGACCAGGAATGGTTGTGGGAACTTCAAATCTGGGTCTTAAGTAGCCCTGGGTGGTCCACCATTACTTTGAACGGTTGCTAAGTTACCAGTTGTAAGTTGAGGACTATCTTTACTTTTGTTGCCCTGTGTCTGTCATAGTAAATGTCACAGTGAATAAGCAAAACTGAATTGTACAATTTTATTTGCCCAGGGAAGAAGAAGCGTTAAAACTACTTTGGACTTACTTGACCAGCCGAGTGGCACTACT